TTGACACGACATTTTAGGTTGTGCACTGTTGTAAGTTACAGAAGACCCGAGGTTTTCGTACCTTTGTACAAAACTATAGAGGGTCCTTATTTAGAATATTGCGTGCAAGCATGGGCGTCTTATTTTAAATAGGATAAACGATGTCTTGAGAAAGTAAAGCGTTTAGCAACCACAATGGTAGCAGGCCAGAAAGGTGAGGGATACCTCCAACAACTGAACCTGTCCTCCCTAGCCCATAGACGCATGCGGGGCGACCTTATAGAGACATTTAAGATCGTCGAAGGGCTTTCGTATCTAAAGTTCGAAAACCTATTCTCATTTGTTCCTGCTAGGGGCACGAAGTGACATCAACGTAAATCGAAAAGAAGTCATTGTAAAAATGTCTACGAGCTAGATTGTTCACAAGCAGGGTTATACCACTGTGGAATAAATTACCTGAAGCAGTGGTTACCTGTTTTACCTGTTTTCGAATCTTGCAAGAGAAAGCTAGACGAATGTTAGGCAGTAGTATTTCCCGAAGTTGAATGTTGAAAGTTAGTCGTTAGGCTTTTCTTTCCGAAATAATATATGGGATCTGATATTGCACACTACATTCTGCCTTTCAGAAAACACTAATGACTCGGAGTGTAGGAAGCCAACGAGACCGCCGGGAACACAAGGAACTGGACGCACAATTGGCAAGAGCCACAATTGGTCGGTAAGCTAGGATCGATGGGGATCCACCCTAATTTGGTCGTGTGGACTGAGAGCTACCTGACAGGGAGAACCTTTCGCGTTATGGTGGGTGGGATTGGTCGGACTGCGGACATGCATACAGGGGTTCTTAAATGGCTCGGTCTTTAGACCACTGCTGTTTCTTGTCTTCATCGATGGCCTGATCCCCCGTCTTTTAAACTCGACGTTTATCTTTGCGGATGACGTCAAACTCTTTGGCTCGCACCAGGGTGTGGACTTCCAGCTTGATCTAGATGCAGTGCACACATGGTCTGCAGAGTGGGGCCTTCCTTCAAATGCATTGGATTGTAAGGTTCTGCTAGCCGGGAGTGCTCAGGCGGCTGGGTCACGCTACATTGGAGCTACAGACGGGTAGGCTATGGCAGTAGTGCCAGAGATCTGCGACCTGAACTCTAAACTCCGCTTTTATCTCCTCTGCCCAGTGTCTTGCTCCGGCACGTACGGCCGATAAAGTGTCGTTCGGGTTGGAGCGCAAAGTGACGTCCAGGGACCATGTATTACTATTGCTGCTCCACATGGCCTTCGTTCGGTCACACCTATAGTACTGTGAACAAGGTTGGTCTTCAGCTCTGAAAAAGGACCAAAAGGTTCTGGAGAGGGTGCAGCGAAGATACACGTGTATGTTCCCCAACCCTCGGGGCGCAACATATGCCGAACGCCTTCAGGGGCTGAACCTGTTCTCACTTAAACGGAGAAGGTTGAGGGGGGACCTGATTGAAAATTTCCGTATCCTAACGGGTTTCTCTCATGAAAGCTCCCATCTACTCCAGCGAAACGACGTCCCCAACAGAAGTGGGCACAGCCTCAGGCACTCAAACGCCTGAGAGCCAATTTTTTCGCACCGGATGGTTAATACAAGGAACAAACTTCCTCATGAGGTGGTGCCATTAAAACAATTGACGAATTCAAGCTGAAGCTTGACGCATCCTGGGCATCAACGTTTCCTAACTGTGTCTGACGCTAGGCCTAAGGTCGCTAATAGATCGTCCGTCGCCGTCCCCACTCTTGATATTAAGCTCTTATATCTTAAGATACTTCTTTTTGATTTCTCGAACTCCCTCAACTTTATTTTCATTCACCGGCAAGGAAGTCCAAGGCTGGGGGTATCTGTGCGTCGACCAGTGCGCAGAACCCTCCACTACAGAAGAGGGTGCAAAACCTCACGTCTCTTGACCTTCAAAATACAAATAACCTGCTCAGTAGGGAGTTAGAAGCCCTATCTGGCAAGAAGGTGAGAAACTGCAACGGAACAGTGCTCATTCTCAACAATGAGGAGCTTATGGTCAGAGAAACCCGAAGAGAAATGGATCGAAGGAGGGCGGTGGATACCCTGCGGCTGGCTGGATTAAATCCCCAAAATTTCCTCCAAAGAGTGCGCATGGTTGGAGTATGGAAGAACCCTGGGCCGGGTGAGAAATTTCAGCCAGACCGATTCTCGTAGAATTCAACAATCCGGGTATGCGAAATCCTCTGCTCGCGAGGGCTGGTTGGATAGCGAATCGTACGCAGGGTTGATTTAGGATAGTCCTTGACCAACCAAGGCAGATCCTCGGGCCCCACAATTGAGCGAAGCCCAACAGCAGATACCTGCAAAAACGCGGGTAGTGGGTCTTCGTAGCTCTGACCCTGTGGCCAATAAGGCGGTCATTATAGTAGAGAACATATTTTAAGAAGAATGGCAGAGTTGCCTTCAATCTTCAGCAGTAAGTGATACAGTTGGTCGGCACGGGGACATNATGACCTGTGCAACTAGAACGCCTCTGAAGTGGACATCAGAGTCCAGGGGACAGGATTGTACAATAATATGTGCAACTCCACGCGAGGAGGTTGTTGTAGAGGCCCCAAAAACGTGGGTTCTCCTCCTAACCCTAGTATAGTTCAAGATAACTTTGTTACCTACAGAACAGATAGGAATGGCTCTGTATAGGAAGGAGGAGCAGCCCTACTTCTAAGACCACACTTGTGCTCAGTAGAATTGAATACTAAGATTTCTACTCTCAATGTGCAGCTAGTTGCAGTGGATCCTATTACAAATAGCAGAAAAATGTCCATCGCATGCGTGTATAGGGGTCCTAGTTCCACGCATTCGGAAGACCAACAGACTATCCAGGCACTGGACAACTTAGCTTGAAATTCGACCAGACTGGTCGTTATGGGTGACTTCAATTTTAGGTATGTTGACTGGGAGCTCTGGAGGTGTCCTCGAGGTTCAGGCGAAAGCTAACTCGAATGGATTCAATCCCGGGCCCTTTGTCCGCATGTAAAGGAGAACACCAGGTATCGGGAAGGCCAACAGCCGTCGCTGTTGGACCTGATCATCACAGCGCAGGAGTATGAAGGACAAAGTCTAGAGTATCACCCTCATATCGGTAAAAGTGATCATCTTCTCATCAAGATGACACTTCAGTTGAAACTATCCAACCCCCGTGAAGGGATGTGTAAAAACTTTGGAAAGATTGACGTGTATCTACTCCGAGCTAAGGCGGCTCAACTGAGTTGGCACAGTTCGGAGCCGCACGTGGACGTAGAGGAAAGCTGGAGTATAATCAGGAACAACCTGATGAACCTCCAAGATGAGTTTGCTCCCTTAACCCACAGAGATTCATGGAAGAATCCGCCATGGTGGCATACCGCTGTAGGTGGGGTGATTAAACGTAGAAATAGAAGCTGGAAAGCTTTCCGAGCTTCCAGTTCCCAGATGGCTTGGAGGCAGTATACAAGACATCGTAACGAAGTAGTTTCGCTCATAAGAAAGGGTACAAGGGACTTTGAGTCGAAACTAGTCAGCCGAGCCAAAAGGGAGCCGAAACGCTACCACAACTACGCCCAAGCCAGGGGTCCTAATGAAAGGATGATGGGACCTCTACAATTGGAAGGTAGGACCGTTACCGATGACCAGGAAAAAGTAGACGTCTTCTGCACATACTTCATTAGTGTGCATCGAGTAGATCGCGACGATCTGGCACTACCGAATCTCGCCCCCCATCAGTGGAAATGGAGCATACTTATGTGTCATTAGAAGCGGTTCATGAAATATTAGCTGAGTTGAACGCAAGTAAATCTCTAGGGCCCGATGGAATCCACCCGGCAATCGTCAAGCCTCTCGTGGACATAGTAGCGGGAACGCTAAGGGATTTGCACCAAGCCAGCCTAGACCAGGGCAAGCTGCCGAGGGATTGGAAGACAGCTGCTGTTGTTGCCATTCACAAGGGAGGATCACAATCCCAGATTAGGAATTACAGGCCGGTGAGCCTAACGAGTATACTGTGGAAGTGCCTAGAACGGATAGTGAGGACGCACATTGCACAGCATTCACTCCGAAACTCAGTGCTTACTGATCACCAGCACGGGTTTACCAAGGGTAGATCATGCCTATCTAATTTACTGTGTTCTCTAGATGAGGTAACCTCGAGTTTAGATGAGGGCAAAGCTGTGGAAGTCTGTTATTTAGACTTTTGAAAAGCTTTTGATTCCGTTAATCACAGGTTTCTGTTAGCTAAGCTCAAACACAAAGGGATAAATGGGCAGGTACATAACTGGATAAGGGAATTNGCCAAAGTCACACCCACTAGTGGAGTACCACAGGGCTCAGTGCTTGGTCCCCTACTGTTCCTCATTTTTATAGATGGCTTGGCTGCCATCCTACGTTCGCCATGCTTCATCTTTGCAGCTGATGTCAAGATCGTGGGATCAGCCATTCGGCAGCAATTGCTGGATGACCTGCTTAGAGCAACGGAATGGGCAACAGTATGGGACCTCCCACTGAATGCAGAGAAAAGCAATTTACTTTCCCGTGCTGATGAACAGTTGTCAATCCATTTAGGCCGCACTTGGAGTACTGCGTGCAGGCTTGGGCACCCTTCTTCTAAACGGATGCAGCCTGTTTAGAGAAAGTCCGAAGACTAGCCACCCGAATGATTGAAGGTCAAAGTTTAAGTCATACCAAGACAGACTGAAAGACTTGGGACTCTTCTCGCTAGAAAGGAGGAGGCTAAGAGGAGACTTACTGGAGACCTTCAAGATTGTAGAAGGGCTCTCTGGAGTTAGGAAAGAGAGCATGTTCCAAGAAGCTATCCACCAAGGAACTAGTGGGAATGGGTATAAACTACATAAGCAGCATTGCAACCTGGTCGTTAGATCCAGCTTCTTCCGTAACAGAGCGGTAAACAGGTAGAACCGATTGATTTAGGAAGCATGACTGCATTTAGCTCACCCTGGAAGAGCGATGGTTAGAGCTCTTTCCAGGGTGGGATCTTTATTGTAATATGGAATGCCTTCAAGACCCATGTTCCTTGTTTGCCGATGAGGTGAAAGGAGACGAGCTTTTTCCCCCCTTCAGCAAGGACGCCGTACTGAAGGCAATTCGCAGTGGTGAGTGTGCACCTTGTGAGCATACTGCCGGAAGAAATCTGGACGCTCGATTGGCCGTGGCCATTATCAGTCCTGTGCAACCTGACCTACATATCTGGTGAATGAGATACTGCACCTAAATATCCTGCCTTTCAAAAAATAGCAGAACGAACCTTTGACGAGCAGTGTTGGAAGCCATGGAGACTAGCTGACAATGCAACGATCTGGAAACACGATTGGTCTCGGCCACTACTGTCCTGTGCAAACTGAACTGAACTGAACTGAACGACGTTGAGCGCTCGGTTCAAATTTTTGACGTGGTAAATTCTTGTGCGGCGTGACCGAAACCAAAGCCACCGACCGACTTATGCAGCCTTGCCTTTATCACACTGTTATTCTGTTTAACGGCAATTACTATCATGATTATTGTTACCTTTATGCCAAGAGACTAATGCCATTCACACTAGAACGCTGTGATATTTTATGCCTTCTCGCTCTCGTTTCAGACCGTTCTGTGTGTAGGCACGCAAGAGCATATTCCCGTTTTGACTTCGGGACCACCACACGCTTCTCGTCAGAGTAGTCATACTTGAAGTACACCACACCGGCTTCCATCGATAGGTAGTTCCACATGGCCCATAAACACCTTGTTTCCCAGCTTTGGCCCGCGACTTCCCGGTTGTCCGGCTTATCCTTCCCCATTTTCAGGTGGTTATATATCAGTACTGTGTCTGGGTCGCTTTCTTGCATCTGTCCCCACTCACCATTGGCTCTCTCAACAAGGTTGACTTGTGTCACGAATTGGGTGCAAGACGGGCAAGGTCCGTGTTCCCGATAGGGTCTTCTTGAGAGGGCGTCGGCGTTTAGGTGTTTCTTTCCTTCTCTATGCTGACAGGAAAAGTTGTACTCCTGCATCTTTTCCTGCCACCGAGCGACTTGGCCTTCAGGATCCTTGAAATTTCTTAACCATGTCAGGGATTGATGGTCGGTGCGGACGAGGAAGTGCCTCCCTAGGAGATAATGTCTATACTTCTTTAGGAAGTGGACAAGTGCAAGCATTTCTTTTCTGGTTGTACAGTAATTTTTCTCCTGATGACTCAGCATTCTGCTGCCATACGCGATCACCTTTTCTTTTCCCTCATCGTCTATTTGAGAGAGTACAGCACCAATCGCACCGTCGCTGGCATCGGTATCCAGGATGAATTGTCCACTATCCGGGCCCAATTGTGGTAGCGTGAGGACGGGTGCTGTTGTCAATGCCTTGCGGAGGGTCGAAAACGCCTGTTCGCAGTCCTCTGTCCAGTGGAATTTTGTTTCTTTGTGTAATAATTGTGTCAATGGGGCGGCTATTTCTGAAAATCGAGGCACGAACCGCCGATAGTACGACGCAAGCCCCATAAAGCTGCGTACTTCCGACTCGTTGCGAGGTTGGGGCCAGTTTCGCACCTTATTTACCTTTTCTTCGTCAGTTTGAATGCCTTCGGCGGAGATCACGTGGCCGAGAAAGCGAACCTCCCGTTGGAAAAGTGTGCATTTGTTTCTTTGTGTAATAATTGTGTCAATGGGGCGGCTATTTCTGAAAATCGAGGCACGAACCGCCGATAGTACGACGCAAGCCCCATAAAGCTGCGTACTTCCGACTCGTTGCGAGGTTGGGGCCAGTTTCGCACCTTATTTACCTTTTCTTCGTCAGTTTGAATGCCTTCGGCGGAGATCACGTGGCCGAGAAAGCGAACCTCTCGTTGGAAAAGTGTGCATTTGGCGGGTTTTAGCTTCAACCCGACCTTGCGGAGACAGTCAAACGTGGCCCTTAGATTCGCCAAATGTTCCTCCTCGGTCTTTCCGTGTACTACCACATCGTCCAAGTAGACAAGACACTGCCGTGGGATCAGTTCCCTGAGCACTGAGGACATTAGCCGCTGGAATGTAGCCGGTGCGTTCGTCAATCCAAATGGCATCGTCTGGAATTCGTATAATCCGTTTGGCACAACGAATGCTGTCTTCTCTCTATCCTTCTCTTCTACTTCCACCTGCCAGTACCCAGATGCTAGGTCAAGAGTCGAGAAGTATTTCGCTCCGGA